CCAGCCACTCTCACTGTAGGTATATGTGGAAACAGCCTTGCAAGCCCTGTTCATACCACATCATCACCACTATTATTTTGATAGCTTTGTTAAAGAAATACTTGAGGCATATATTACACTTCACTCTGGTATCTAAACAAATGGCAGATTGTAGTATATTGTATTCTCTTCTTGCATCTTACACAACTTAAATATCTTTGTACCCCTAATGTGCTTTGTTTTCTCTCAAAAGTAGTTCTTGGTACTTGTGCAAACTGAAATGCTTTGACTGTTTTACTAACTGTAGGGAAAAAGTATTGAATTTGTACTAAAAATCTGAATCTCAAAAAAGCATTTAGAGATTAGATAGTAATCTGAATAAGTGTCACTTCTCAAAAATCCAGCATAAAAAGGCTAGCTTTCCCCAAGAATTGCTGTGGAGTAATCCTAATTAAGATTTGCTTTTGAAAAAATCCTGGGGTTTCAGCAGAACATTGATTGTTCTTAAAATGGTGCTGCCCACAGCCAGTGCCAGAGTTGATAATACTGCAGCTAAATATTTTCCGTGTCAACTAACACCTCATGGGGAGGAACTGTATATTAGTGAAGAAATTTAAATCTTAATTTTTGTGATCTTGGGGAAAGCAAAAAAAAGCAGCAATTAGTAGGGTCTCCATTTACCTTCCATTGTTAAAGCCCTGCAATAATTACGTATAAATATTAAGCTCAAAGTGTTGCATTTCTTTGTTTTTAAAGGGGAAAATGCTAAAGGTTTAATATGGTTTTCAGAATATATAACATGCTATTTCAGCAGATTTCCATTTGAAACAAAATACCGGCAGCCCTACTCTGTTGAGGGTAGCCGAGACACAGGAATTAGGCCGTGGTGCCTGACAGTTGTGCTCCGTGGGCGCACTGACTTGTCCCATCTGTTAGCAAGGATCCTGCAAAGCGAGGGTCACCCTTTATGGCTGCGTTGCGGGATGCTCAGAGAAGAGGGCTGGGGGTGCCCGCAGTCTTCTGAAGAAACTCTTTTGAGTGCAGTAGAGCTGCCACCTCCAGTATAAAGTAACAATTTAGAATTTGTTCTGCCGCTGCACTGATGGATATCTTTTGGGAGAGGTTGGGATTCAGAGCCTCCGTCAGAGTCCAATCTGATTTGACCTCTGGGGAATGTCTGAGATCTATGTGTACCTCAGCCTTTTCCTGCAGTCAGTAAGAATCCATGGCTCTACAAACACCTTGTAAAAGTTAGGCTCCGAAACATCATAATTGTGGCTTGATTATGTCCCTGCTTGCTCCCCCTCCCCTTAACCATTAAAAGAAGGGCTAAGATAAAGGCAGAGACACTTTTCTCACTCAGTCTCCGTCAAGACTTAGATTCAGTTCGTTGGGAGCTGCAGGTGTTATGCCTGACTGTACTGTGCACAGGTACCAATGCTTTGTGAGAGAAAGAAGTGCAGCTGTGGTATTGCCGTGTTGTGCACAGGACACCCATGGAAGTGGTACCAGCCTGATCGGGGCCCCTCGCAGGATTGTCGCTCTGCTTTGCAAGTCATGGATAGCCCAGTCCTGCTGCTCTGTCACTGTCCCAATGCCCTGTGGTTCTTCACAGAGATGGACTGGAGGAGCCGGGGAATCCCTGCGCCCAGTAGGAAGATGGAGCCGGCTTAGCAACACAGGGGCTCATTTCTGTCTTCTGTGACATGCAGAGCAGCCTTAAGGGAGAGTCAAATCCTATTGACAAGTTAACAGTCTGTGTTAATGCTCTTTGGAAAGCCAAAGACATCTGTCCTATCGGTACAATTTGCTCAAGTGGGATGAGGCTGAACATGCTGGAGAAAGAAATAGCTGTAGTAAGAAATCTATGATATATTGCTAAAGTGAATGACAAAGAACTGGTCATTAGAAATCTACCAAAAGACAAGTTAAAACAGTATGCTATGTATATGATATTTACCTACCAAGCTCATAAGGTATTTTTTGCTACAGGCAATCAATAATAAAGGTGGAACTTGTTTTCCTTCTTTTCTTCTTTCCTACTGTACACCCTTGAAACTTGTCCCCTGCTGGGTTTCATGTGTGTGTACCCATAATAACATTCCTAGTTAGCGGCAAAACTCTGACAGCACTACAGGTTTCTCTGTGAAAGAGTTCACTAAATGCCAGCCACTAATCTGGTGGCATTTGCTAACGTAATGCTGTAAAGCCAATCTGTTTCCCTTCCTTCTTGCTGTCTTCTTTTCAAAAGAAATTTCTCATTTTTAGCAAACACAAGAAGAAAAAACTCTGACTTAATGCTGTCAAATAATTTCAGTTAAGCCAAAAAATGCAAGAGGCATATTCATTTACAGACTCTCACTGACCTGCGTTAACTGGTGATAAAGAAACATTGATATCTACAGATTATATTGCCAGTTAAAGTAAATTTATAAACATTTGCATTTCAAAACTTTGCAGTTAATCTGGAGCATAATGTTCCACTGGATGCTATTGGTATCTGGCAAAATGGTTGGTTTTAGATCTTTATGCATTCTAGGTCTAGTATAGTCCTTTTCATAAAATATATACTGTCTCCCACAGTTCTTGACAGCACAACCCAAGCAGCTGTTTTAAATCTGCCTTGAGACAAACAGCACATGACAGGCCAGCTCCTCCCATGATTACCACTCCAACATGAAGCCACTTGGCACAGCTCATGAGTTGGCCAGGTCTAGGTAGGGTGGGACTTCCGAGCAAGGCCAGGGCAGCTGGGAGGTGAACATCTCTGTGCAAGCCATGCCAGCAGCCTGCAGTACGAACCTGGCTGCAGACCAGGAGGTCTCTGGGGGAAGGTGTCTGCACCGCTCCTTTAGCTGGCTGGAGGAGTTCATCTACCATAGGTGCAGCTACTCTAATGAGGAAAAGGACTGCACTAGGTCTCTATCAAGCTTGCTGACTTGGGAGAGGAGGGTGGTTTAGAGACCACATAATTTGGGTGATGCTGATAAGTGCACCCAGTTAAGCACCAAGCAGAACAAGAGACATTCCCAGGGGATCTGCTAAGCATGCTGCCTTCCCCAAATGGTAAATCAGCTGCCTGCTTACTTTCTAAATGCAGTCGTGTTTTGTTATTTCAGGCAAAATGCCAGGGTAGGTGCTAATCAAAAGTATAAATAAAATCAAATGTGTGTAAGGAAACAGTGCAATGAAAAATGTTTTCCCTAAACATACGAGGCCTGAAGCTGTAAAGTGTTTCTCCTTTGTTGAGACAAGTTGAGAATTGCTTATTGCAGTCTCAAGGCATTATTAAGTGGCTCAGCAAGGTTATTACTTAGCTACAGTACTGGGAATTAAAGAGGTTGCTTAGGAAGTGCTGTCTCTTACTTTCATTAGATGCAGTAGTGGTTTAGTGTCCCATATGTATATTCCCTTTTTCTTTGTCAAAATATCTGTGTATGTAGATCCTTTGGTGAAGCCAGTCCATGAGAGTTTCTGTCCCTGAAAGACAGGGATTAACCATTTCTTTACAATATGTGCACAAAGCCAGTGGCAACTGGTCCTTTCTGTAACATACCATGAATCGAGTGGTTTTTTCTCAGCTACAGTGGTGTCAAAGACTAAAGCCCATAAGATTTGTCTGAAACGGTAATATGATTGCAGAAATGAAGGATGATCTTCTAATTTCTTAGAACACATTCTCTTTGCAGTGGTTGTGATTTAACTGTTCACTTGGGAAATATCTGTATGCTTTACTGAATTATGTGTATTGTAGACTGGTGTCTCCTATGATTCAGAACTTTGTTAAAGTAAATGTCAGAGTGTGCATGTGCACACCATTGGACGCAGATAGGCTTTGACTGTTATGCTACCGTCTTTTTACACTCGTGTAGTGTCTAGTGATGTTCTTTTACCTTGGTATCAACCTTTTTGCACCATCAGAGGCTGCAATTGAGAATGTGGATTACTTTGTGTGTATGATACATGTTCTTACAGGCATACAGGTAAGCATCTCCAATAAGGTTTTTGTATTTTCTAAGTGACCATGGGAGACATTATTGCATTTCTTTTGCAGTTTTGTTAACTGTTGTTGATAAAGAGAATTTAGGACAAAAAAATCTGAAATGATTGAGGTTTTGCAGATCGTAACTTTTATCATAGTCATGTCATGCGGGGATTATTCTACAAACTGTGTTTGCATATGGAAGCATGGCAGCAATCACCTAAAAGCTACTTCTTTTGCAGGCATTTCAAATAGTTCCACATAGTTTAAAAATACACGATTAGTTCTTAGGGTTGCTAATGTTTTGGTTTAGTCCTGTTTTCACAAAGATTTCTGAACAGAAGCTGCTGCAGAATTTTGTACAATTTGGCACCTGGGGATTCTTTGACCTTTCAGGAGCTAAATTGTTTGATAAAATTCACAACAGTTACAAAGATTTCCTCTACAGAGTAGCCATTCTAGATTTTTTCTTTCTGCTTTGGTTTAATTCAGCATGACCTATAAATTTGAAAAAAGAAATGCAAAATGTTTACATGTGATGGACGCAATCAAGATCTTATGAAGAGTCCTGTGAAAAATCTCCTGTGTTGTTAAGTGTGTTAAGCTGTCAAAGGAACGCTCAAGCTATATTAAGATTATAGGAATGAAACGTATACAGCCAATTTACTGTAGTTCTGATGCATTATTCATTTGTATCAACATGGCGCATATTTGGAAATGCAGTAGAAGTGTCTCAATCCCCTGTTCACTTCTCTGCTACTGACTGAATAGGAAGTTTAGGGCATGATGCTACCCCAAAACTGAAAAAAATGCAACAGTTCTGCAATTATTCGTTTACTGTTATGTTTGTCAATATAGTTTCGTAAGTATTATGCAGAGCTGCACTATTTTATGTCATTTCTCATTTGTGTGTGTATAGATATATATGTGTGTATATGCACATAGACTTACTTGGGTGCTGTGGACAAAACATTCAGGATGAGGCAATGCAAATCCAGAATTAACCTCAGAAACTGGTGATTTTTTTTTTTCTGCTTAGATGGACAAAACCAATTTTGAGAAAGGGTTACAGACGACGGTTGGAACTGTCAGATATTTATCAAATCCCTTCTGCGGACTCTGCTGATAATCTTTCTGAAAAACTAGAAAGGTATGAAAGTTCCATGGAATAACTTTGTTTCAGGAATCACACTGTGATTTTCATTAAAAAGCTGTTGGAGAAAATGTTTAAATGGCATTGGGTGCAAGCTGGTTGCATCCATTGACTGGCTCGAGTGTGTTCTCATTCAGCACCAAGTTGTCCTTTGGAGCTGACCAGGATCCCTGGTGCAAATATATTGCCCAGATGCTCTAAATTACTGTATCCAGGTACCTGTGACATCTGTCCATTGACTAGTGAGGTTAGGCTCACACTTTTAGTGTTAGTTCTCTATTCTGCTGTTCTTTCTTTCAAAACTATCCTTGTAAAGCCTTGTTTTCTTTTTTTCTTCAACTACGTAACATTCTTCATTTCCTTTGATGCCACTGTTGAAAGACTAATTGCTTCTGCAGAAATCATGCCGTGACTTTCAACATTTAGGCTTCATCTCTTCTCTACCCTATTTCAGTGGGTCCTAATTCAGAAACTGTGCTACACTTGTAACTAACTCTTACAGTTACAAGTGCCTAAATCCGGTCCCTCTCCCCCAGCCTCTAGTGTAGCTTTCCCTGGTGTGCTGGGACAGCTCATGTCTGCACTGTGGTACCAATCCAATTAAACTTAATTGAAGTGTGGCATACATATTCCAAACTGGTGGAAAGTATTGAGAACATTGCTATACTTAATGCATTTTGGTAGTTTATAAATGGAATATTTTGGTTATTTAATATTCTGTTGAAAAGTGGAGAAAAGAGCTGAGGAAATTCTTAGGAGTGCTTTCATCTGTGAGTTGAATTTTGACTAAACATATGCTTTCTGGATATAGCATTGCTTCTGATCAGCAACTTATTATCAAATAGAAAATTATTGTCCCAGAAACACAGGTTGAAAATAATGCTGTGCAGTAGAAAAGTCACATTTTTGACACTTTGTTGGTGTTTTCTTTTTTTGCAGACTGGAAGAGCTCCAGAACATTTATTTGCCTGTTATTTGTGCTTTGGTCTTAAGTACAGCAGGTTTCTTTAAAACATACAATGTGACCTTTTCAAGAATTAATTCCCTGCAGGGTGATGTATGGCTGAGTATTTAAAACTGCCAAATATGTGGCTGAACTAGATTTGAACTTTTATTGATCTATCAAGTCAATGAAGGCCAGGTCTTTGGGGTCTCTGCAAAGCTTTTTTTCATTAGTCACCTTAGCTAAATCTCCTTGGATATACTTGAGTGAATTGAAGTATGTCAGAGCAGTAGACCCGTGCATTTGTTCACGCAACTTAATGGTCTTGTTTATTCGTTTCTTTTCAGAGAGTGGGACAGAGAGCTGGCAACTTCAAAGAAAAAGCCCAAACTTATTAACGCTCTTCGACGATGCTTCTTCTGGAAGTTTATGTTCTATGGAATAATATTATATTTAGGGGTAAGATTGGTTCTTCTTTTCAGTAAACTTTTGTGTTCCATAAATTGATCCAAGTCTTAGATTGCTAAATTAATACAAAATCCTGTGAATAGCTGCGTATTTTGCTCTGTGTATTGCTTATAAAGATTATAAATACAGAGAGGTACTCAGGAACCTTCATTAAAAAAGTATTTTCTGATAATGTGTTAATATCTTTAAAAAAGTCTGTATTACTAGGTGCTGATATATACTTCTCCAAGTACAGGTAGAACACCTGATTTTTGCAATCACATTTAGACTGTCTCCTAGGTGTAGCTCATAAAGAACAGCTCTGAAATTTCTCAATACCAAAGCTTGATTTTAAAAATAACACCTAGAGTGAAAAAGCTCTTTACATTTTATCTTTTTGCTTCTTTCTTGTGGATAGATACTCTCACATGTGCAGGTACACAAATTCTGATTAAGAATAGAGGAATCAAGAAATTAGCTCCCAAGGCAACTTTGTTCCCTTCCAGTTTAAGTCTCTCCAGCTTGCTGGACTCTTGTCACTAGGGAAGAGCCTCAGGTCTCCTCCCACTGCCACTTGCTTCGGTCTGAAGTCGACACCACTGCAGATCTGATGCAAAGAGATGTGTTGTGCTTCCTTCTGCTACAAGGAGAAAGGGGAGGATATGATGATTACAGTGCTGCTGCCGGTGCTCACTCTGGAGGGCTGTTCTGTGTCCTATTCTGGGCTGTTCAGGGCTGATGGGAGGCACAGTGCCTAGAATGAAAGTTGATGAGTCAGGTGATTGTCTGTGTACAGGTAGGACAGTTAATCACAGCAGATAACTGGGTCTCTTGGTATCTGTGGGGCTGTGTAATAACCCTTCTGTCTATAGTCTTTCACCTTGTTTGGTGACTTCTCTGGTATGATACCCTTTCTTTGTGGACTTCTACAAAATTCTGTCTTTTATTTGCTTCTGCCATCTCATTACTGCCTTTAATTTTTTAACCTTTTTCCTCACCAAGCCAGCAACTCCTTATTTGTGTCATGTTTGTATTTTTATAAAAATTATAGTTCTACAAATTTAGCCTACCATACACAGTATGGCCATATACTGCACATTATAATAGGTGTTCTTGCAGAGTCTGCCAGCCAAAACTATTGCAGTAATGCATTCC